GTACGAGATCATAAAAAGAGTTGGACCAGTGGCTTATTAGTTAGCATTACCTCCAGAAATGGATAAGATTCATAATGTATTTAATCTATTGATTATTCAAAAATATCGATTAGATCCTTCACGTGTGATTAAATCAGAGAAGATAGAGATTCAACCGAACTTGTCATATGAAGAAAAACTATAGAAGATTTTATTTCGTGGATTTAAAGAACTAAGGAATGGGACAATACCACTAGTAAAAGTTCTTTAGCGGACATAAAGTTGAGAAAGCAACATGGGAATAAGAAGAATATATGAAAGAACATTTTCCTCATCTTTTTACCCCATGTATGTAAATACATATGGAAAATTCAAGAACAATTTTTCTTTAAGGGGAGGAGAATTGTAATACCACAAAAGTTTGGCTAGTGACCAAACTGTAAGTTTTGAAAGTTTAGAGCCAAAGTATAAATTTTGTAAGATTTTAGGGATCAAAAATATAATTTTTAAAAGTTATATGTTTTGGCATTTGAATGAATAGTTTATTAATAAATTGATGTTTTTTGGAATCAGAATTTTGATCAGGATTTATATTAAAATCTAAAAAGAAGTGAAGTCCGATAATAATTCGAATAATTGGATCAAACCAAAATTTCACGAAAAATTTGAAGGATGATGTAAAAGGTTAGAATTATTATTTTATAATTTAGAAAAGTGGAATTAGGTCTATTTTTTATGTTAAACGAAATTGAGAATTAATGACTAAATTACAATTTTAAAAAATGCCAGGGATAAAGGTGGAAAGTTAATTTTTGTTGGTTCATGTTTGAATTTTAAATATTAAATTGGAAGATATTATGGTGGTATGGTGGAAATTATCAATAATTTTAAAGGATAAAGTTTGTATTTCTTTATTAAATGAATTTTAAATTCATTTAAATTAGATTAAAGCCAAGTGCATTATGAGATAATACTAGAAAAATCAAGAAGATTTTTAGTTCTTTTTCTTGCTCAAGTCTTAAACTCCATAGCTAGGTAAAGGAGATTTTTAGTTTGATTTTTAAGCTTATTTGATTGTTTTTTGGATTAAGCTACTAGATAGAGAATTAATGTACTTGAATTCTCTATCTTTGGTATATTATTTCATGTAAAACATGCTTGAATGATGAAATTCATGATTAGGATTTATGAAGAACATGTTGAATTTTGAAGTATTAAAGGATGCTTTTTAGGTTATTAGTGTTGCAGATTAATTTCCAAGTATGTGTGATGATTAAAATCATCTAAAATTGCATATATCTAATTCAACCAAGTTAGGGTTTATGATAATTGATTGAATTTTGATTGAATTTGATGTTAGGATGATTGAAATTGCATGAATTTAAACATAGGAGCTTGGATTAATGCTTGAAGTGGAATGAAAATAATCCCTGATGTACTAGGCACGACTGACCATAAGGAGTAATTAGGGGGAAATTTTGTAAAAATTTCCTGTGGTTATATTTGATATTAGAATGATTTACATGCTTTGGAGATTAAATTTGATCAATTTGGAAGATTGTGAAAGTAAAAGAACTATTTTGTAAGTTTTGGGAATTATGGGACATTAAAGTATAAATGTCCAATTGTGAGTGTTCGTGCTGTAAATTAATGTTTAAATGTTGATTTGAAGTTAGAATATTTTTTGGATCAAATTGGAAAATTTGGGAGAGTTTGATGGCTAATTCGAATGGACTAGGAAATTGGGGATTTAATTGTAAGTTTACAAATGCAAATGTACTAGATTGAGTATCTTAATACAATGCTGGAAATTTTGAGTATTGGTTTTCAATTGAGAAAAATGCTAAAGGACCATTATGAATTAATTGGAAACGTTAGCATGAATTCTATAAGAATTCATACATTGTGACTTAGATGCAAAGTTTATGAAAGTTGAGTGGTTGGAGATGAAAATGAATATTTATGGAATTGAAAAGCTATTTTAGAAATGTTGAAGTTGTTATGGATTAGAAAAGTGATTTTTATATCAATTAAGTATCGATTATATTTTATGGAATTTTTATTATTGGGTTCACCCCCACTTACTTGGGAAGAAGCTCGGGATAGAGCTTATGTCATGTAAATGCACGTGATGTGTGTGAGGAGAAACATACAAACTATTGACTCAAAAAACAGAAAAGAAAAACCCTCGATAGAAACATTGATAGAGCTGAAAACAAAAATAAAATCGTTAGTATGAAAATTAAAAAATAAAGAAATAAAAAACTTCAATAAGTGGATCATAAGTTAACTATAGACACACACCCATAATTTCCACCACAACGACAATATGTAAGAGACAGCCTGACTCTCTAAAGTCCCCAGTGGAGTCGCCAAGCTGTCATAACCATTTTTGAAAATAAAAATATTTTAAAAAACAATTATGACTTATTTAAAAAAATAGAGATTTTGAATTATTTTGAATAGGAGTCGCCATCAACCTTTGGGTTAGGTTCGTCGAATACCTAAAAACGCCTTTTAAAACAATTTTAAGAAAAATTATTTTTAAACAAAAAATTGGTCTACGTTATCAAAGATTCATTTGTTTTTGGATCCGGGAGTCGATTACGCATAGGGAAGAATTAGCACCCCATAGCACCCAAATCTGGTACCTAATCGCTTACACATTGTCGTAAATGGTGGAAATTATAAATACGAATATAAAAATTAAATTACGATCCAATTATTGAATATTACTTTATTATGGATTATTTATTAAGAAAAATCCTTTCATTTAAAAAGAAACATAGAGATTCGAACATCCTTCGATGGGAAGACTATCTCTTCTATTTTTTGTCTGTAAAAGAATATTCCTCCTTGATTTATTAAAATATTAAATTATTTGGAAAAAATAATATCGAAATTTGCATGAAATAATTTATATTTCATTTTTTGAACATACATCGTTAGTACTGAAATTAAATAAAACAAAATAAAGTAAAAAATAAATATTATAAAAGTAAAATAAAATAAAATATTATTAAAAATATAAAAAAACGCTCTAGTTTTTTTAAGTTTATATTTCGTTCAAACGTCGTATCGGATTTAACTACTTCGATCAAGCAATACTTTCCACGCTCATTCTACAAATAAGTGTTCTTGAAAATATTCGAGTAAAATATCAATAAATAAAGGAGTATGATGAAAAAATAAATATGAATTGAAATATATAGATAATATATATATATATATATATATATATAAAGAACAAAATATCTATTGCAAATAGAGCTAGTGATATTTATTTAATATAAAACCATAATATACAAAATATGTATATATACATAAAGGACTATAATAAAATAAGAAAATATTAGATCATATACAAACAAAATAAAATAGGCATATTTGGTGATTCAAAGGACCAAAATGATATTAACAATAACTTGAAGGACCAAACAATAATACCACTAACAAACAAGAGCCATAGTCATACATATTAAACAATAAAGGTAATGAAACAAAAATAAACCATGAATAGTATTAAAGACTTAAATAAACTAAACCAAAAAAAACGGAAGGGTAAATAAGAATTCTTCCTAAAGGCATTCATACAATAGTGACCAAACAAAAGATTTGTAAACCTTAGGGTCAGATTCAATATGAACAAACATGGTATAATCTATAAAACTGGTGACTTAAATCTGAACATTGAAAGATAAAAACTCGAAACAAATAACATAACATTTCATTCAATGGCCAAAAGGTAAGGTTACAAAGTCATAAGGACTAAAACTGCTAGTATCCCATGCGCTAAAATACAACCCTGCCCCCTCCCGAAACTACGTCGTTTCACATGTGATATATATGCTTAAAACCAAACCCAAATCGACCATTCCCCTCTCATTTGCCTCATTTCTGTTTTTCCTTTCATTTGGGGAGAGCCAAACTCTATCAACTTCCCTCTCCATCGGGAGATGAATCACCCAGACCCTAAGACCACCGTAGATCGCTGGTCATGGGGAGAAACAAAGCCCCAAAAACTCCTTTTTCTCCCTCTTAAAACCTTTTAAGAATCCAAAATCCAAAACCAACCCCCATTCAAAACCCTATAAATCAAAAACCTAAGGGAAAAGGAAAAAGTTTTACCTTCGATCGTGGGTTTCTTGGCTCCGGTGAGGCTACCAAGGGTTAGATATCTCTAAAAGGTTTGTTTTTTCTTTAGTTCAAAAGTTTTTTGTTCCCTTTTTGGTTTTTTCGTTTTCTTCGAATCTCTCTTTTTTTCTGGGTTCCTTTTCTTTTCTTATCCTCACTCGATCTGTCCTCATTCCCTCTTTATCTTCTTCTCTTTTTGGTGGGTTGATTTGATGATGACTTGTGAAGCCTCTAACATAGGGTATGATTACCTTATCTCAATCCTTGCCAATCCTGGATTTTCCTTCGGATTTCTTTTGTAGAAATAGATTTTTATATTTCTTTCTCTTCTCTGACTGCTTTTCTTTTGCTTGATTGATTTAAGATATTTGGTTGAAACGACATCAACATTAGAGGTTTGGACGACGGCGGGGTGGGAGCTGGGCATGGCTCGGCTTGAGCAGTGGTAGTGGGGAGCAGCTAGGGTTCCAGAACCTTAATGTAATCTGGATCGTTGGATTTGAACCGATCCAACAACTGGACTAGCTGGTGGCTGAAGGGTTTAGATGAAAACCCTAAATGATCACTGATCTGGACTATTGATTTGGGTCTAGATTGTGTGGATGAGATTGAGCGGCGTTGGGCTAAGGGTGAGAAAACCCTAACTAGGTTTGGGCTCCCAAGCGTTTCATTCTTGGTCGAAGCTGAGTGGGCTTCGTGTTGTGTTTAATTTGATATATGGGCCCCTGTTTGTATTTTGGATCTATCCAATAAGCAAATATGTTAGTATTTTACTTACAATAATAATAGTTAATAATAATAATTAATAATAATAACAACTAATAACAATAATAATATTAATAATTAATAATAATAACAACTAATAACAATAATAATATTATAATAATAAATTTTGGACAAAATCAGGTGTCTACACCATTCACTGCTATTCCTCTTCTCATGTACTGCACACTGCCAGCAGTCTGTCTGCTCACTAACAAGTTCATTATCCCACAGGTTAGTCTATCTGGAATTGATATTTTCTAATCGGCATCGATTTATTTATTTACTGTTTCGTTGTTATAGGAGAGCTATGGATTATTGTATTATATGCTCTAACTATTTTGCTTGGTTTGCAGTCACTGCAGATTAGTAACATTGCGAGTATATGGTTTATATCCCTCTTTCTTTCCATCTTTGCAACTGGTATCTTAGAAATTAGGTGGAGCGGTGTGGGGATTGATGAATGGTGGAGAAATGAACAGTTCTGGGTTATCGGTAGTGTGTCGGCTCATCTTTTTGCTGTTTTCCAAGGCCTTCTCATGGTTCTTGCTGGCATCGACACCAACTTCACGGTCACTTCAAAAGCATCGGACGAAGACGGTCGCAGAACTTTACATGTTCAAATGGACAACCCTGCTCATCCCACCAACTACTCTCCTCATTATAAACTTGGTGGGGGTTGTTGCAGGGATCTCGTATGCCATCAATAGTGGCTACCAATCATGGGGTCCCTCTTTGGTAAGCTATTCTTTGCCTTCTGAGTGATCATCCATCTCTACCCCTTCTTGAAAGGTTTAATGGGAAGCCAAAACCGAACACCCACCATTGTTGTTGTATGGTCAATTCTGCTTGCCTCCATTTTCTCTTTGTTGTGGGTGCGCATCGATCCCTTTACGACAAGAGTTACCGGGCCGGATGTACAAGTGTGGAATAAACTGTTAAAAAGGAAGGAAGGAAAGTTTGCTTTGGTGTCCCGAAGCTGCAAAGGACAGAGGTTTGTTTAGTTGTAATTTTGTGTATTTCAATTGACATAGTGTGCAGAATATAAGGCAGTGATTTTACTTAATATGATGTTTTGGAGTTGACATAACTATCTTGTGCAGAATATGTTATAAGCAGACACGACAAATGTAGATATGGATTATTGAGGGGCAGAGCATTTCAATATTATTATGTTGTATGGTATTGTACCAAGATATTGGCATTCCTTTTTCGGCCATAGAAAAAAAATTGAAAAACTTTTGACAAAACCCAAACCCAGACGAAAGTGAAATTTGAAAATAGTATGTCCAATCTTACGGTTGTGAAATTTGTATATGTATTTTTTGTTGTTGAATTTTAGTTCACGTGTTTCTTTTTTAGAACTTGAAATTTCAATTTTTTTTTTGAAAAATAACCAATATATTTCATAATCGAAGTTGCATCAACAAACATCTTGCCAAGTACAGAGTGAGCAAATACAATTGTAACTATAAAAATAAAATATAACAATGATCGATTAGAGATAGCATGATAAACAAAACTATTAACAAGGAAGCAATGGCATATATAACTGAAACACCAACGGCTTCGAGTATCAGACATGAAGGAGAGAAACCTGAAGAAGAACTAAAATGGCCAACGGAAAAAAACGATCTCCCTTAACAACAATCTCATCGGCACATATACAATAACCAACGAACCATCTTGTACAAATGAACAAAGGAACTGTATGCAGGGAAAATAAAAGACCGAGAAGAAAACCATTAAAAAAACTGCACCGAGAGTCTAAAAACACCGATAGCCACGATTTCTTTTACAAAATAAAGGGCCAATAAAAATTATTATTGTAAATACGATAAACTAGAACTAAAAATGACAGGATTGTGATCGGAAAAGATCACTACCGCTTCCATAAACGAAGAGATTTTGAAAAGAGCTTTGTAACTTCCTAACTTCCGCAAATAACTTTGTAACTTCCGTAGAGCAACTCTAAATAGTAGACATAATATAATTGAATTACATATTTTTAAACTATTAATTAGAAACAATGAATTAAATTTACTACAAAATTTAATAACAAAATTTATTTTTGACAGGGTTCACAATTAAAATTAAGATTTTAAAATCTGAAAAGTATAAAGACAAAATAATTTTTTAATGAATAAAGACAAAATAATTAAATTAAAATATATGGATTAAATTCAAAATTATATAAACGGAAAGTGCAAACGGTTAACCAAAAATGATTTAATCTCTTCTTTTCTTTAAAAACATTATAGTTTAATCTTTTTAAAAAATTTGTAATATCGTAGTTTTGTTTGTGATACATTATAATATTGGGTAAACTACACGTTTAGTATGTTAATTATTACTTTTGTGCTATTTTAGTTACTCAATTAGTTTTTTGTTTTAAAATCATACTTAACGTTACGTTTTGGTTTTATTTGGTCATCCAAAGTAAAAAACAAATTTAAGGGTGAAGCTGATGTGCCATCAAATGTAATCATCATTGATTTTTTTGAAAAAAATGTCATGTCAACAGATCTATTAGATTTTTAATAGCGGATGAGAAAATGAAACAAAACATTACGTTAGGTATGATTTGAAAAAAAAATAAAAGGATTGCAAAATCGTTGACATGATCTTAGGTACCTTTGTATATTTTCTATTATGGGTACTGCCTTAGTCGACCTAGGATCGACTCACTCCTATATCTCTTATGACCTAATACGAGAGACAAACATCCCGACTGATGACCTTGAAGAAGGGGTTTGAGTATCCAACCTATTAGGATTAGATGTTTTTGTATACGAAGTTCATCGTTGATGCCCGATCGAGATTCAAGGTGAGACCTTTCAAGCCAATCTAATGGAGTTTTCATTCAGAGAGTTTGACTTGATCTTGGGCATGGATTAGTTGTCAGAGCACGATGCAAGCTTGAGATGTAAAGCCAGACAGCTTAAACTTAAGAAACTTGACGGGACTAATATCGTGATGGTGGACAAGAAGCCCAAGTGTTCAAGGATTATAACTGTCGTTAAGGCATAAAAGATGTTAAAACGGGGTTTTGAAGCCTTTTTGGCCTATATAGTCGACACTCGAGTTGCAGTTCTATAACTTGAGGATATCTGAATTGTTTGAGACTTTCTAAACGGTTTTCCAGAGGAGTTGCCAGGATTACCCCCGAATCGAGAGCTAGAGTTTGATATAGAGGTAATGTCAAGATATGCTCTGGTATCTATTGCTCCCTACCGTATGGCACTGACATAATTAAAGGAGTTGAAGGCTCAATTTCAAGAGTTACAAGAGAAGGAGTTCATCCGGCCAAGTATTTCTCCTTGGGGAGCATCGGTTTTCTTTGTTAAGAAGAATGATGGATCGATGAGGTTATGCATAGACTATCGGTAATTAAACAAATTGACCATCAATAACAGTTATCCCCTTCCAAGAATCGATGACCTCTTCGACCAACTTAAAGGAGCATGTGTTCTCCAAGATAGATCTGATGTTCGGATACTACCAGTTAAAGGTTAAGGAGACAGACATAACGAAGACGACGTTTAGGACTAGATATGGTCAATATGAGTTTCTTATAATGTTGTTTGGACTCACCAACTTGTGACACTATTCATGGACTTAATGAACCTAGTGTTCCATCCGTACTTAGACTTGTTCATAGTGGTTATCATGATGACATCTTGGTGTACTCACGATTAGAGGAATAGCATGACCAATATCTCCATAGTTCTATAGACCCTTTGAGACTGACAGTTATTTCCTAAGTTTGGGAAATATGTGTTTTGGTTGTTCGAGGTTTTATTTTTAGGCTATGTTGTGGCATTGGATGACATCAGGGTTTACCCTCAAAAGATTCAAGCAGTGCTTGAGTAGGAACTGCTAAGGAGCATAGCCGAGGTGCGCAACTTCTTAGGTCTTACCAGCTATTATTGTCGATTTGTAAAGGGTTTCTTGATAATAGCAACCCCAATAGCTAAGTCACTTTAAAAGGGAGTGTTGTTTGTCTGGGGGGAAACAACAAGAGAGCTTTGAGCAGTTGAAAATCATTTTGACTCAAGCCTCGGTCCTAACCCAGCTTGAGTTAGGGAAAGATTTTATTGTGTTTAGCGATGCCTCCCAAAACGGACTAGAAAACCATGCAATTGTATTTTTCACGCTCAAGATTTGGTGGCACTACATGTTTGATAAGAAGTGTCACCTCTTCACCGACCACAAGAGCCTAAAATATCTACTTACATAGAAAGAGTTAAACTTGAGGCATCATAGATGGGTCGATTTGTTAAAGGACTACAACTGCATGATGGACTACCACGAATACAAATGTTGTTACCGATACACTAAGCAAGAAGTCTATGTCAGAGATGAGACCTTGTTAGTACACTTGAGATTGTCTAGTTATGGCAGGTTATTGGCCAAACTAAGGGTATAAATGGAGTTAGTAAGTGAAGTTAAGAGATTGCAAGGTTCAGGCAGTCACCTAAGGGCTCGTCTAGAGCAAGTCTATCGAGGCGAGACCCCATGATTCGAGTTACCTGAAAAAGAAATTTTATTCTTTAGGGGTCATTTGTGTTTACCCGTAAACCAGAAGTTATGTTGTAAGATCCTTCATGAAGCCCATTGTAGTCTCCTTTCAATGTATCTGAGTAGTAACAAGATGTATCAAGAACTCCGACCATTGTATTGGTGGCGAGACATGAAAAGAAAAGAATCCGAGTTTGTTGCGAAATGTCTAGTGTGCCAAAAAGTTAAGGCAAAACACCAGGTTCCTTCGGGGTTACTCCATCCGATTCAGATACCGTAGTAAAAGTGGGATACAGTGACCATGGATTTTTTGATTGGGTTATCGATGACGAGGGAAAAACACGATATATATGGCTTATAGTAGATCGGTTGACCAAATCCTCACTTCATACCTATTGGATGGATTTCACCCTAGATAGGTTATTGCAACTATACGTTCACAAGAGTAAGTTGTACAGAGTCCCAACTTCAATCATTTCAGACAGATACCCTAGGTTCACTTCCTAGTTTTGGAAAGCCCTTCATGAATCCCTAAGCACCAAACTCCATTTTAGCACCGCCTTCCATCCTTAGATAGATGGTCATTCCGAGAGCGCTATCCATATTCTAGAGGACATGCTTAGATGAACCATTATATACCCAAGGGTCATTGGGGGGACCACCTATCATTAGTGGAGTTCGCGTACACTAACAGTTAGCAGTCTAGTATCTAGATGGCCTTGTATGAGGCTTTGTATAGGCACAAGTGTAGGACTCCCCTTTATTAGATAGAGCTTAATAAAGGGAAGATAGTTAGACTGGATCTAATTAGTGAAACTAACGAAAATGTTAAGTTAATTTATTGTAGGATGAATAAAGCTTATATTAAGTATAGATCATATGCATACTTGATACACATGGATATCAAGTTACCGTGAGTGACAAGGTGTTCTCAAGGTGTCCCCATGGAAGAAGGTATTTCGAATTAAATGTAAAGGGAAGTTGACTCTGTGTTTCATAGGATCGTATGTAGTACTCGAGAAGATTTGACCCGTAGCCTACCATTTAGCCTTACCCCTAGAGTTGGAATACATTCACGATGTTTTTCATGTTTCCATTCTTAGGAGATACCATTCTAACCCTTCCCATGTTATACCCTTAGAACAAATTGAGGTGAGTCAAGACATGACCTATGAAGATGAACCGATCAGGATCTTAGCTAAGGATGTAAAGGAGTTAAGGAATAAGAAAATCCCCTTAGTGAAGGTGTTGTGGAGGAATCATGATGTCAAGGAAGCCACTTGGGAAATCAATGAGGATATGCAGCTTCAGTATCCACATCTCTTATATGTAGGTAAATTTTGAGGACGAAATTTCTTATTAGGATGTGAGAGTTGTAACGCCCCAAATCTTGGGTTAAGAGTTTGGGCTAACCCGAGAGGACCTTATGTTAATTTAAATAACTTATTTGAAGGCTTGTTCTAATTTAACATTGGGCAAAGTATATAGTTTATTTATTCAATCCATCCATGGCAAAGTATATTATCAATATTTA